CCATCAGGGCCCTAAGCTGTCTTTGCCCTCCTATCCTCCAGTTTTCTTGCCGGTGATTCTGGCTGATCACAAACGTAGGGCATGTGAATCTGTGATGCAGTCCACAAAGGTCAGCCTCGATGACAGGTTACGGTGTAGAAACAAACTCTGCAGTACACCGTGTCTTTCCCTTTGTTGATTTTTCTCTTTTATTTTGGAGGGACCATCTTCTCACTATCTCCTTGGTAAAGAGTACATAGGAATTAAGTCTTTGAGACCTTAAATATCTGAAGATGTCTTTATTCTTCCCTCATATGCATGTGATAGTTTGGCTGAATCTAGAATTGCAGTAGGAATATTTTCCCTTGGGAATTTTGAAGGTGTTTCTCGCTTGCATTATTGTGATTGAGAAATCTAAAGTTGTACTGATTCCTGATCCCTCGTATGTAACTTGTTTCCCTCTCTGAAAGTTAATGGGATCTTCTCTTGGTCCCCAGTATTCTGAGATTTCACAATCATGTTCCTTGATACAGATCTATTCCAGTCTTTTTGGGGGAGACAGAGGGGTGGTAGGGAACTCAGTGGGCCCTTTCCATCTAGCAACTCATGTCATTAGTTCTGAGAAATTTTTGTTGACTTATTTTATTGACAGATTTTTCACTTTGTTTTCTCTGTGCTCTTTTCTAGGAAAAAAATCTGTTACTAAGATGCCTCCTGTCTGTTCCTTTTATTTTTCTTATGTCTTTTCTCTTATTTTCCTTTCTCTTTTGTCTTTTTGCTCTACTTTCTCAGATCTTTTTTCAATGTTATCTTCCAATTCTATTGAATTTTTAAATTTTTAGCTATTTTGTAATTTTCAGGAGCTATTTTTACTCACTGAATTTTCCTTTTATATAGCACCTTTTAAAAAGAAAGTTTCACAAGGGTAATCTTTTCTGATCAGAAGATACTAATAGTTTTGTTGAAGTGTTCTCTCTTGCTTCTCTCTCTCTAGTCTCCATTTTCTATAAGTTAGAAATATTTTTTAAATTAAAAAAATTTTAATTGAAGTGTAGTTGATTTACAGTGTTAGTTTCAGGTGTACAGCAAAGTGATTCAGTCATACATCTACATACATATATTTTCTTTCTTTTCAGATTCTTTTCCATTATATGTTATTATAAGAAATTGAATATAGTTCCCTGTGCTATACAGTAGGTCCTTGTTGTTTATCTGTTTTATTTATAGTAATGTCTGACTTTTTTCTTTTAACGGAGTTACTGAGGAAAGAACCCAGGACCTTCTGCATGCTAAGCATGTGCTCTACCACTGAACTACACCCTCCACCTTCTCCAGGTTACTTTCTTTTTGTTCATGGGTTTTGACCTCTGTCGTCTATGCTGGAGGTCTTCCTCAAGTTTTTGGTCATACTCTCTTATATGTTCATGATTAAGAATTAGGGGCTGAAATATAATTGGTTGCCCTGAGTACTTTGATGAGGCTTGTTTCCTTTTTTATTTTTTTTTTAATTTTGAGGAGGAAATAATTTGGTTTTATTTATTTATTTATTTAAAAATTTTCTATAATTGTAGAGTCCCTAATTTAATAAATATTACCTATTTCTAAATTCTGCCCCACTTTGTTTTGTTTATTTCGGGGGGGCAATTAGGCTTATTTATTTGTTTATTTAATAGCGGTACTGGGGATTGAACCGAGGACCCTGCATGCTCAGCATGCACTCCACCGCTGAGCTATACCCACCCCACCCCAAGGTTTGTTTCCTTTGAATGACACTGTCAGGTGATAAGGATGGGCTGCTTGCTGGTGAACTCCTGATGTGAGTATTTTCAAATCTCTTCTCTTAGGCTAGTTATGTTTAGCAGAAAAGAATTTTCCAGTCTCCTGCTTAGAGGGAAATGGTCGGCGGCTGGCATTCTGGGAGCCAAGTCAGGGAAGAGATAGAAGTTGTTGGTACTTAGCATTCAGTCATGACATCTCTCTGTATTTGGTATGATAATAATAACATACCTTCATTTATGTTTAATGTCTCACAGTCCAGAGGCCTTCTGTACTTGCTTCTATTATAGGGAGAATAAACTATTATACTATGTAGTTTGTATGTGTATTTATTTAATATAAGTACTATATATATTAAAATATAGCAATGTGCAATATGAGCAAAGATGTAGAGAGCTGGCCTGGAGGAACAGCTTTCACCCAGCCCTCCCTACCTTAGCCTCCTAGTTGCTTTAGCCTCTCCTTTACACCTGCTACACCAAGTAGAGGTGTATGGTGCTGCCGGTTGTCAGTCTGCTTTCTAGATTCCAAAATTTTACTGTTCTTGTATTCTCTTGTGTTCACTTTCATGTAGGTTTATGCCTTTTAAAGAAAATCTCTTTACTCAAGTTTTAGTGGAATTTTTCAGAGAAGCAAAATCAGATGTGTAGTTTATTCTACCATCTTAACCCAGAAAACCATTTAGGTCACTTTTGCTTCTTTTAAAATAAGCAATGAGGCAGTAGTTTCTTGTTACTGAGATAAAGACCAAAGAGAGTGTTCTTCTGTCTCCTTTATTCTCTCTCCATGATAATGCGAAACAATATTTAGATTGTACAAGTACGTATTCATTTAAGCCCTCTGCTGTTGAGAAAACTAGTTTTGAAAGTTTGAACAGTCTGAGCAGCTGCATTTTGGTCCTTGAAGCCGACTCAGAGGGATTTTTCCACAACCTGCGACCAAACTTGATGCACACAATGGCTGTTTATTTAAAGAACAGAGGCATCCATCTCATTACCTCTCCTAGGTGAGAAATGATTAGGGTCCCTGAGAGCAAATTCAAACTATTCTTTCTCATTTGAGGAAATGCAATGTTGTTTTTCTCTAGTAAACACGCTAAACAGAATGCAAGTGTAATTTCTTAACAAGAAATTTTATTAGGTTACTTATTACACAATTACATGTGTTAATTATTGAAATATGGATAACTTGTTTTATGCGAAGGTGCAGTTGGGGATTAGTATGAAGTACAATAGTAAAAAGTTGGAAACTCTTCATTCCACTCATTTCCCATAAAAATGAAAAAAAGAAATCATTAATTGTATTATAACTGTTGTGGATACTTCAGGACTATAAAACAGGAAATTTGCCAAGGATCTCTCTGGCTGACCTTAAGTAACATTCAGCCTTCTTCCTTTTTTCCTTTCTCCCCTCCTTCCTTCCTTCCCCCAAAACATGTTTCTTAATTCTCAGCATGTGCAAGGCTCTGAACTAGTTACTGGAGCCCTAGCTATGAACAAGGCAGACACTGTCCCTGCCTTCTTGAAACTGTGCTTGGCAGAAGGGAAAAGCGTGAAACAAGTAATTACAACATGACTTACTGCGATAAGAATATAAAAGAGGAGGACTTGCCAGATCTCAGGTGTAATGTTTGAGCTGAGATCTAAGAGGAGTAAAAGATGTTGCTTAGGCAAAGGGCAGATATAGGGAGCCCGGGAAAGCAATACCAGACCTAAGTTAACAGTAAGTGTAAATAAATGCCCAGGGGCAGTTTTGGATGGTCAGAACTGAGAGACAGAGACAGAGAGAGACCGGAGATGAGACTGAGCAGAAAGCCAAGTCCACATCGTGTTTGGCTGTAATATTCCCTCAGAAAGAAAAGAACTCCTTATAGCAGAAATACTGGGCAGGGAATTTACTTGCTCAACAGTTTAAATGGCCATCCTGCTTCAATATAACAATACATTTCAATGAAAACATTTTACTGAGAACACGTTTTCAAAAGTATATATGTATATATTTTTTAATAGTTTCGACTTTTATTAGACTACAAAATGAGTTTTCTAATAGGTGAACAAGAACAAGATCTATTCCGGGTACCCAACACCATCTGCTATGTTATGTTAATGTATCTACCTCCCAATGTTTTTGTTTTGTTTTGTTTTGTTTTGTTTTAATCACAATTCAGTATTTAAAAGATAAAGCTTTTTTTTTTTTCAACATTCACTATTGCTTAATAGCTGAATGCATGTGCTGTCCTAGATCATGAGGTTAGTGGTGCTTATTTCAATATTAAATAAAAGGATTCATTTTCATTGAAGCAAGCAGGGAATTAAGCTTACAACTTCAATTACCAATAATTAATTCCCTGCACTGCAAGCCATTGCAGTTTGCATTTAAACTCCCAATGCCCAACGGATAACAAAAATCTATTTTGATCACTTTTTATTTTCATCATTTAAGGCGTACATCTTATTTCAATTAGGCACATGCTTTTCCAGATCATAAGAGAGAACAAATACCCCTTCTAAAAAATTAGGCGATTGGAGTAAGGGAGACTTTTAAGTGTGACAAAGAAATCCTGGGATCTTTTCATTTCTCTTGCTTTTATTGAAGGAGTGCTTACTATTGTGTAGAATTAGCTGCCTCATATACACGAGCCTTTTATTTACAAGCAGGTGGATCATTTCCCTAAATTTGTTTTCCCTTATGCATTAAGCTATTCTTTGGTGGTTTTTCACTATCTGAGGAGAAGAAAGCAATTGAGCACATGATTTAGAATAAGGCAAAATTAAGTCCTGCTCCAAAGCCGAGCCCACCACCTTGGGCAGCAGGCATAAGGATCAGAAGATCTCTTCAGAAAGGGAGACTTGACCTGGAGATTGATGAGAGACTGAGCTCATCAGGATGTTCCACATTTTTTTGGACAAGTTCTGAGCAATAGAAAGAAGCCGCCAGGGTGTCACCAAAGCAAAGACACAATCAGAGCCAGAGTTCTTAAGTTCTTAGAGATGAAAAGAGGTGCTTGGAATTAGATTTCACTGGAAACAGGCAGACCTGTGTGGCAAAAAGAAAGTAAGTTCTAAGAAGCCTTACTTTTCAAGTTTTCAAAACATTAGTTTTCTTCCTGCTTGTGTTAACCTTGCCACAAATATATCTCATAATTCATAATAATTGACCATATAACAATAATATTTTATTTAAGTGGAACTCAGTGAAATGAAACCATAAATTAACTTGAATTAGCTTCTTCATTTGGCTTTCAGGAAAAAGAATGCAGTATCAGTCATTTAATAAAAAGTAGTAGCTACAATGGCAAGTTCTAAGGTTAGTACATATCCATCCCAGTCTTCAATCCACCCTGTACTATGGTGCAAACAGATTTAGAATCTGATTGCCATACCCCACATGACCCTTAGTATAGCAGTAATGCACTAAAAAAAAAATTATACTTCCCATTTTAAGAAAACAAACCAGTATCAACCAATATATTTTAAATGATTCTATTAACAAGGGTTGGAGCAAAGGACTTTCTGGCCAAGTGAACCTCAATGATTAAAAATGGTAATCGTTATGCAGCCTAACATTCAAGCATTCTGACTAATCCATCAACTTTTTCCATCATTAAGTAAAAATATATACTACACTGAAAGAGACCCAGCCATCAAATGAAGTTCAGCCAACAGTTTCTGAATACAAGGAGAAGAATTTGCTGAATATTATTATACAAAACAAACAAAAACAGATGTCATGTTCCTGGAGGCCAAAAGCCACATCTACTAAAATCATTTAAACACAGAGACCCACTGCTGGCCTTGCTTGATGATGCATTGTTAGCACAGCCAAATATTTCCACCCTAGGAAATCAAGTAGAAATGATTTAATAAGTGATTTTACATGACAAACTTAGAGAAAGCATTAATTTTTTTTCCATTACAGTTTTTGTTAATGAGCCATTCTGATAATAGAAAGGTAGAGGAGAAGATTTAATTTCCTGGGAATGAAGATCAACATGTGACACTGATTTCCTGGTTTCTTTCTTCATGATATTTTTAAGGTCAGACCTTCAACAATAAAGGTAAGTCACTCATCTTAGACTCTGTTACCTTCTGCTCCACACCATCTGTTAGACAGAACCTCTCTCTCACTTTAAGCTTTTGGCTCCTTTTCAGAGGTCTGCTGATGTTTTCAGCACAGACAAGCAAATTCGACCCAGGAACTTTATTGTGGTACATACAAATGTAAGTTTCCAAGCACAATGGATATTATTAGCCCCAAATATCCCTACTAGACCACACAGCTCTGAGACCCAACCCCCAGTCATAGGTAGCCACAGGGAACAAAGAGGAGAGAGAAGGCTCAAATTTGCTTGGAAAGATAGGCCAACCCCGGAGGTCTGGGACAAGAAGCAGCTGAACGTCTGATGGATTTGCCATTACACAGCTGTTCTTGCCTGGGAAGAGGAGCAGGGAACACTTGTACTGCTTTCCAAGATTCTGTAAATGGTGAACTTCTGAAGGCAACAGCATAGCCCCAGCTAAAATCATCTGGGTAAGTGTATGAGACCGAGAACTCAAAGTAGACTAGATCAGCAAGCCAGTGAGATCTTTGTTGTTTCCCAGTGGAACTAGAGGCTGTCTCAAGGTTAACAGTCAGCCAAAGTTTTCAGATGTGCTTTTCACAAGTAAAAGAGACACCGTTTATGGCCATCATCTGTCACTCAGGCGTCTGAGTTGTTCTCCCACTAGATGATCTCATGCTTCTCTGCTCTGTGCTCCTTGTTACCAAATTACTGTTTTTGAAGTGAGTACCTAGCTAGGGGTGCAGACTGACAGTGCAACACCACTTTTACTGCACATGCCCAGAGAGTTCAAGTGGCTTAAAATTAATGGAAGTCATAAAACTAGTTAATCAAACACAGGCTTGAACTCAGATTTCTTATCTTCTCACTTTACCATACTTACTATAAATGGTTCCAGTGTTTAATAGACTGCTGTTCCTCACTGTGATAAGCAGAACAACGCCACCCCCCCCCACCATGTCTACACCCTAAACTTTGGAAGCTATGAGTATGTTTTGTTAAATGGCAAAGAGAATTAGGGTTGCAGATGGAATTAAGGTTGCTAAACTGAGTTTAAAATAGGAAGATTATCCTGGATTATCAGGATGAGTCCAGTGTAATCACAGAGGTCTGAAATGTAGAAGAAGGAAGTAGAAAGTCAGTGTCGGTGATGTAATGTGAGAAGGACTTCACACTGCTGACTTTGACATTGGAAGGGGGCCACCAGCCAAGGAATGTAGGCAGCCTCTAGAAACTAAAAAGGCAAGAAAACAGATTTTCCCCTAGCACCCCAGAAAGGCATGCCCTACCAACTTCCAGATTTTAGCCCAGTGAGACTCATTTCAGACTTCTGACTTCCAGCACTGTAAGATAATAAATTTGTGTGGTTTAAACCACTAAATTTGTGGAAATCTATTACAGCAACTGTAGGAAACTAATACACTCTCTAAAGTGTCTAAAAATAAACACATGATAAAAACTCAGTAATGTGTCCTACTATTTTTTAAAAAGGATCTATTCTTCCTTTGAGGTTTGATCTTTAACAATTAGGAACAGCAGCAAATATTCAAGTATAATACCTATTATATGCAAGAACTGTTCTCAATGTTAGATACATTAACTCATTTAAACCTTTCAGAACATTATAAGGTGTTTCTGTTATCATCCGCACTTTATAGAGAAGAAAACTGAGACACAGAGAACTCATGCAATTTGTCCAAGGTCACAAAGCAGGAAATTTGCAGAGTTGGGATTGAACCCAGACTAGAGTCTGTCCACTGCGGTGCTATTCTGCTGCTCTCAATGGTAGTGACTCAACACATGTCATCCTTACCTTGAGTCAACATAGATGATCTTGTCTTTTATGCAAGAACTTAACAAAATTGCTGTTGGAGATTTGTTTTCTAGTTCATAGATTGTATTCTTTGAAATATTTTTAGCTTTTTCTTATAGGTTTCCCATACTGTTACTTCACCTTTTCTCACTTAGCACTGAGACTGTTTTCATGTTAATCACCAAAAATTTCATAGCTTTGCAGATGTGGATTATTCAAGAACTGATCAACATGTCTGGTTTCCCAGCTCAGTTGTCTCTCTTCCTTTTTGCCTCTTGCCCTGTTGAGATACCTTACCCCATCTACTAGTCTACTTGCAGTGAAGGGCAGAGGAAGTGAAAATAAAATCTGCAGATTTAGTTACTTGTAAACAGCTCTTGACAAAAGAACAGTTTTGCCCATCATTGCCCACCATGGATTTTTTTGCTGTTTGTTTTCAAATGAAACTTAAGCTTCTTGTGTTCCAATGATGTCTCATATGTAGACATAATTTTCTTTTAAGTTTTCATTTCTACTGTAGGCTTTTGAGATTCGTTAATTTGATTTGTTCATGCTATACTGTACTCTCCGTTATCACAGATGATCAAGAATTGGCTTTAATCATGTTTTGCTTTGCTTTGTTTTGTTTTGGTCTCCAGACACAGAAAACCAAAATAAGAAGTCAAAGCCAGTTTGTTCTTCAAGGTTTTCTTCCCATTTAAAATATGCTCCACTCTGTGTGATTGCCCGTGAATGGAAATAGATTAGTAATGGCTGATAGATCTGTGGGGACTGTCCAAAGTATTTCTGAAGAGAAGTTTATGGAAAAATCAGGGCTCTATGGAAGAGTTTGATGATCTAGATGTTCACTAGTAGAGGGAGATGTCTGTTTTGGAGGTGAGCTAGGTATTACAGCGGCCACACATTTGCCATACCTCCTGTCATGAGTCAAGAACTGTTTCGCCATAAATTCTTGCTGAGCTTCTGTGTGGACAAACTTAGGTCTAGGCAGCACCATCTGTTTCAACCTTACCATTTTCCTGACTCTCCAGACTTTCAAAAAAATTGAAACTACATAAAAACGCATAGAAGATACTGTGTAAGTCTCTAAAATATAGCCTAAAATGAGTGGAATTAAGATTAAATTAAATACAGAGAGTTTTAGGCTTCAAGTAATATTTTACCAACTTGAAGGATTATTAGGTAATGCCAGAGGTCATCGACAGCTGATACAAACTTTCTTTTTAACATAACAATGGCTATCATTTCTTGAGTTCTTTTATTTGTAAGGCCCTTTGTTCAGCGACTTTATATATTTAACTTATTTTATCCTCATTCAAGCCCACAAGGTAGATATTTTAAATGCCCCTTCTGCAGAAGAGAAAATTGAGGCCAGTGAGGTTAAGTAACTTTTATTCGGTCCCAGAGGAATCTCTCTGGAAAGCTTTGGGAAGATTGCCCTCTAGAGAAAAAACAAATCAGACAGATGCCCTTTGAATGCACCTCAGCCTAGAGATGAAACTGAACCTGCTTCTTACTCTCCCCATTTGAAAAAGTAAGCGTTACCAAAATAGAAACTGAACAATATGTTTGAAGCCATGGAGGGATTAGACAGGCCAGATCTCAGCAATGTCTACCTCTCAGGACTGTGTGAAGATGGAGCAACCAGTCTCTCTCAGTTTCTTTTATCTCTTTCTAGGTCAGTCCCTGCAGGGGTTCAGTCCTGTCAGTTACCCTTCTCTGCGTTGCCTATCAATTATTTGCTGTCTTGCTCTGGGGTTGTGATATTTAAAAGAAGATATATATCAAGCTGTGAGGTTTTGCTTGAATTTTCTGGGAACTTGCCTCAGTTTTCTGCTTAATTTTTGCTTTGGAGACTAGTTATACAATGGGGTGGATTTTCTTTTGCATCAGAGGTCATTGCAGAAAGTTTGGAAAGCTTGATCATTAACAAGGACTCAAATCAGACCTCTGGCAGGAACTTAAACTGAATGAAGTATCAGTTGAGAGACTATTTGGATGTTCTTTTGAGGCTTTGTCTGGATTCAAGCTTTCAAAAATACATAGCTTAAAACACACACACACACACGCATACACACAGCTTCAACTTCAAATTGGTTCATGAGGTGTGCTTCTTAAAACACTAATTTGGGTCACGCAGGCCAGGAAGAAATATTTCAGTGAACTATTTTGATTAATTCTAGCTTTCAGGATTAAAGTGAAGTTAAAGTTACCATGTCTGCCATTTTTGACAGCCAGGTGAGTGGAAAAGAAAAGTACTTTCAGAACTCAAGAGATTCGGAGAATTGCATGGAAAAACTGAATCCTTGTACTTTGAAGAGGCACTTGGGACGATGATGGTTAAATATCATGTTGCATAGATTACTTAGTACCTTTTAGTATTTTATACTGGTTACTTACTCCTTTTAGTTAGACTAGTACTTTCAGTGTCACTGCATAGACTTTGTGTTTACTACTCAGTTTACCACCCAGGTGATGCTCTCTCTTGTTATAAGGGTGATGGAGAGACTAGATTCCTTTTAGCAAGTCCCTGCTGAGGCGATAAGAGGCTTGTGACAAGATCTCTATGTGTTCACCAAAACCTATTTCTTACCTACTAGTAGACAGCCAGTCTACATTTGCCAGCCTCCCCTGTACTTAGTTGTGACCACGTAACTGAGTTGAAACAGTGGTGGAAATGAGGTACGTTACTTTTAGCCCTAGGCTTTCCTCCCCCTGAGTTCCTGCAGTGCTCTTCATAGTCTCTCTCTGGATCAGGCAGTCCATCCTCTGACTGTACGGTCCAAGAGAGAACTCTGAAACCCTCATTAATTTTGAAGCCACAGAGGGAACCATCACACTGGACATTGTGTGTGAGGGAGAAACTTTCATTGTGTGCCACTGAGATCATGGGGTCTGTTATAGCAGCTAGCACTACTTACCCTAACTAGTAAAGAAATGGTTTATACAATCAAGATAAAAGATAGTGTTATTATTAGCAGGCTTGAGTAAATAATACTGCTTCACTTTTACAGGTTAAAGCAGATTTGAGTTAAGATCTCAAAATCTATGCTTTTCCTATTGCTGTAGCATACAGTACCAAAACAACAAATTGAAAATTCAGTACATGGAGCATTGAGTTATTTGTTACCATGTCCAACAACTGGTTTGTCTAATATTTAAATTAAAATTAACAGGTATTTAA